AATTAAAAATATTTTGTCTATATTTTTTTATGTCATTTTTAAGTCAATTTGGTTATTATAAAATATCTCCGATTAAATTATTATTATCTCCCTAAATTATTAAAACTTCTGAAGAATTTAAAGAAAACATGATGTGGAACTATGATACTATATATATTACATAGTTTACTGTTAATATCAATATTATTAGGTTTTAAATTGTAACATTTTTATTAAATTATCGTAATTTTTCATTAAGGAGGATCCTAACCGTGGGTCGAAACGTTTGAGGAGAGTTTTGTAATACATCATAAAATTGATTATGCAACAATAACTGGCGTCGGCTTTTAAAGGCTTTTTCCTATTCGTGATTTATTTCACACAGCAGAGGTTTAGACATATTAATATGTTAATATCGATACAGAAACATGCTCACCCTTTTGTCCTCTCTAAAAATCCATCCTGTCTGTGCTCTAGAAAATGTGATACTTTTAGTAGACATTTGCGCTACCATAATATCACTAGACATAAGAATATCAACTTCATCCTCTATTTCAAGCTCTGTTTCCTAAATACAAAAAAAAGGATTCTTTCAATATAACATATCGATATAATATTAATGTAACAATTTTAATATATGTACGTACAAGATTAATGATGTAATAAATAAAAAAATCTAATAACTGCCTAGATTGCTGTTTGTCATTGTAGAACTATCTCAACATAAAATAATATTTATTATGTATGTATATGTTAAGACATCTATCGAAGTGCTAGAGTTTTCATTATATGTATAAATATAAAATATAAAATTTATAAGGTATACAAAAGGATATACAAAATAAGTTTTTTGCATATTACACATGTGAAAGCATAAACATAAAGAAAATAAATGGATTTAATGTACTATTAACCTCATATCTCACTCTTTGGAAAAGTTTGGCTTTATTGTCGAGGACAGTCAATGAATGGCTAGGCTTTTGGTCACCATTAAAGATGAAAGATATGTCACCCCTCTCCCACCTCATATCATTAAAATCTACAAGAGTCGTATCCATCCTAATTGAAGCTCCACTTTTGTGTATCTTACATATATCTGACGGCAACACTCTCGAGACTAGCGGTACTAAAAGAACAAACGAATTTATTATTGGCTGATCATTGGACAGGAAATATAAAAAAATTATGCAGAATATACAAAATAAAATAAGTCATTTGATTGAATCATTACTAGCAAAATTTGTAATAAACTTAATAAGATATATTTTCTTCTCAAAGATTTTTTTGTAAAGAGGATATCGATAATTATATACAAATTCTTTTTTAGTTTTCATAAGCGTATATATTAATTTTTTTCATAGGCATTTATAGAATACAATTTTTAATAAAAAGGAAACGTTTTTTAAATGTTAGTGTCTATAAGTTATTCATAGTTTTGGATTTAATCAGCACTCAATTTCATCGAAACTCACCCCAACTTTGAAAATCCCATTTTAATTCCATATAAAAATCACCCATTTGATGCAATGCAGCAACTAAATTTGGCCTTCTTTCTTCCATTTGTTCTCTCGCTTGTTGCTTCAATTTACGTACTAAAGATGATACTATGAAAAACATTTTTAAATTAATCTTACGCATCATAATTATAGAATCATATAAGACATATCATTCCTACTAGATCATCTGCATGTTTAAATTCACTTGTAACTTATAAAAACTGAAATTAATGCTTTATACTAGGAATTTTTTTCCAAATTATCTAAGTAATAGCCAATTTGTTAAAAGAAATATTCTCTCTGTATAAATATGTTACAATACATTACACAAAATGTAAGTTAAGTAAGAGAAATTAAAATTTAAATTTTAACTATTCTTTTTATAACTAATATATTTCTTATCAAAATAGGTAATTTCTAAATCTATTATTATTATTTTATACGAACTGGTTATTCTATCTCCGTAACTAATTGCTTCGGCCAATGGACTCCAACCAGCTAGATTCTTCACCTTTACAGGTGCCCCGTGTGTAAGCAATAATTGAACACATGCTGTAACATAATGAAACAAACTATATATCCAATCTATTTCAATTTAAAAATTAATTTTAATATTTTACAGCCTCAATTTTAACATTTGAATTTTATGAGTATATATAAAATTCGTTATCAGTTTATATATCGTGTTTTTAACATCTGAACAGATGGAATAAAATTATATTTTTTAAACATTCTAATGCGATGAAATAAGACAAAAGATGTCCGTACCTTTTCTTCCTAACATCACAGCTAAATGCAAAGGTGTGTTTCCTGTAACGAACATACATGAAAGATTTAAGTATATAAATATATATCTTTCTGCAGAATTCCAAAAATTTTGGAACAAACAGTTTTTATTGCAATAACTGTTTTTTGTATTTGCATCCATTTCGAGAAATTCAGCAAAATTTTTTTGTGGGATAGTTTTACTTTCTTAAAAAAATTAAGCAGATGGAGGATTTTTAGTATGACGGTCAGAGAATCGTTTTGGCTAATTTCAGTCAAAATCTCATTGTTATACAAGAACTTTCAACTTTCTTTTCATATCTATTTTGGACAATTTTAGAAATTTAACTATTTTGACTACCCATATTTTTAAAACTATCCCTATGCTCAACTTAAAATTTGTCTGAGACTAATGTGTCATACAGCATTGTTTGAGATTAACGTTCCATCATATAGCATACATACAATTTGATTTGAAATTGCAGGGCCATGTAAAAATCAGCAAAGTTTGCAGTCACTCGTTCACAAGCATAACAATAAGTCATCACAATGAAAATGATGTCAAATATCTCCAAAATGACATTACCATGCTTTGTTGTTTTGCTTGGGTTTGTTTTTGACAGACTGGTCTAACCGGGAAATGATCAACTCCCTTGTAGTATTAAATTTTTATAAAGGAAGCAAACCTTGTTTATCCTTTTCAGCAATATCATGTGTACCAATCAAGATCTTCAGCGTCTTCACGTCCCCTTGAAATATACATCTGTGAAGCGGATACTCCTCGTTCTCCTGCGCCATGATCATCGGCATCCGAGATCCCTATCATGCGCGTTACAACGGCAGAACTGAACACAAACTTTGACGTTTCGTATTACAACATGTGCCATGCATGACGTCGACGCGGATCATCACGATTACTGACGTTAACTGGACGTTAACAGGTATCACAATGCACGCAAGTCTCGCCCTCCGGCGAGCTTGCGACTTGACATGTTGACACTTTGATTAATATATACTTTTACGTAATTGTCATATTTCTTTCCCTTCTCCTCTTATCTTATAGTACCTTTATCGACACTTCCTTGTGTTAAACAACAATACTTCTGTAAGTTCAAATCTTGGCGCCTCCGTGGGAATCGCAATCAACATTATGATCGTGTTTGCTTCAATTATTTTCAATTCTTCTCAAATTTATAGCTCCAAGTTCCCTTCCCGTTAGTTACGGAACACTTGTACGACCGAATGCAAAATGCGCGCGCGCATGTGTGTGTGTGTGTGTGTGTGTGCGTGTGTGTGTGTGTGTGATGTATGTGTATACTTTGAGGCCTAACCGCTCTTCCCTAATAGGATATCAACTTGACAGTGTACTCGACGGAGTCACTGCGATACGGATGGCCGAAAATGACAGATCGGCAATTTTTAACCCTCGTGAGCCTCGTTACATTTGCTCGCACGGCTGACACGCTCCGTCTCGAGGAACATATTCGGAAAATCGGTGCGATCGTGCGATCGTACAACCGAGTAAACGTCAACGCACATTGAAGGAAAAGCGATCGTCCGAGAAAGCTATTCACTCATGGCAAACATGGCACTCCGGGACATGTTCAACGATTGTATCGCGCTCGATGACATTCGACGCGCGCGTAATTATTATATTTACTGAACGTACGCGAAAATGTTTTTACGCTCGCAGACAAGTCCGTAATGCGGCCACACCGGCGTTTGCATCTGGTGGGACCTACGGTGGCAAAAATCACCGTTCGATATCGCCGCCTACACTCATTTTAAAATTGGCGACAAGCAGCCACGTTCATGAGGATGAACCTATAATTAGCCAATTCGTCGGATATTTTGAGAATGACATTGACATAATTTTTCAAAATTGTTATAATCAGTTTCAAAATTTTTCAAAATTTCTATGTAATTGTATACCTTTTTAAACAATTTTACAAATTTTTTATATGAATTGGAACACTTTAAAAGAGAAAATCATAGAACTCCTCATATATGTGCGAATTCTGGAATATTCTAAGATTTCTCATTTTATAATTCTATAGCAAACTTGAAAAAAATCAAAGATGTTTAGGATATTTTTTTAGAAACTTTTATAAATTTAAAATTGTTGGGAAATTGTTACGAGATCATTAAGCCCTTGTACACTAGTGTCATCTGCATCTATTCTCAAATGATAAACTACATAGTCACATCGTTTTGAACTTAGCCGATATGTCAGTAAGCCCTCTACAGTCTTAAAATATTTAATATAAATTATCCAAATGTTTTATTAAACATAATTAAATATAATTAAAAACACAAGAAAATAAATAAAATAATAATGACGCCTAATTAAAATTTTGTTTTATTGTTAAGCGGGGAGCACAGATTCTTGTCTAACGTCCCAGCAAACGAGAATGGATTGAAATGGATTGAAATGAATTCAGATTTTCAGAAATATCGATTCACGAATATTAAAATGAATGCTTTTCAATCCTGAAAGCATTTTTATTCATTTATAGGAATTGCATGGAGCATATCTCTATGTCATTCAATCTAAAACTAATATTAGCTTTTTCTGTGCATTGTGAAATACTGTTCAATTCAAAATTTTGAATAGGAGATGCAATTTTTCAATCCAATTGAATCAAATTAAATCCAAAAAAAAATATTCGCTATTTAAAATACGCATTCAGATAGAAAAAAATTTCAATCCATTCTCGTTTACTGGAATCTTGTCATTTTGCTTCTTATCCGATTTTTTGTTTTATATCGCCCGAGATAAAAGTTAATGAAAGAAACAAGAAATATAAAAATTGTTAATAAAACGGTTGCAAAAGAGAAAAAAGCAAAAGGTAAAAAACAAAAAATAAGAAATAAAGAGCACATTGTAAAATAGGTTTTAAACGTGACGATTTCACGATTTTGCTTTGTATATTATGTTAGATACATTTCGAAAGGAATGAAACTAGTATGACATCAATAAGTAAAAAATGAGTTATACCTTCGATTTTAATAAATAACATAAATAAAATTAATCAATCACTAGAAAATGTTGGTAATTCATTTGTTGTCTTATGATGGAAAAAAATCTTTAAAAAAAAAAATCTTTAAAAAAAAAATTTACGCCAAGTGCTTAAAAAAGGTGTTGAATATATTCTTCTTAATCAAAAACGGATATAATAATAAATGTAATTAACCAAGTATTTCACGCAAGACAAATAAGACTAAAAGTAATTCATAAAAAAACAAATAAATGTACAAAAAAATAAATCACGTAAAAATAAATTGTCCTATTCAATATTGAATAGGAAAGGAAAAAATAAAAATTTAAGGGACCACTCACATTCTATAAAATTTGCAGAATTTTATACAAAATGATTTTATACAAAAATGATAAATATGATATTTATTTAATATTATTTTTTAATTTAAATACATTTCTTAAATGTATTTCTTATATTGCTAATTTTAGAAAGAAACTTATTCGATACGAACAGCATACATAAAAGTATCTATTATTGCATTAATAAGGAATAACATTTTTCTATTATATAAAAAATAATTTGCACTTTTCTGGTCTGTAATTTAATATTAATTTTTTTTTCAAAAAATGAATATATAATCTTATATATCTGAAAGTAAATAAATAAAATGTTTTTAACAAGAAAGAATTAGACATAGATTAATGTATCATCGATTGTCCACACGTCATTATCAAATTTCTGAAGTAGTTCTATTAAACGATCGTATAGTAGGATTTTAATATCAATGGCCCATAAAAAATCCAAATGGGTAAACAATTTATGTTGATTTTCCTCCAACAGAATTACATTCGGCAGATGCCTATATATTTCGAGGACATTCTGGGAACAAAATGTAGAAGACTATGAAATTAATACGTTATTCCGAGTGAACATCGGACAGTGATAGTTTAAAATTTCATTATAAAAAATTATAAAAATAAACAAAATTTATTTTAAAGATAAAAAAATAGCACTTTAAGATAGTGTAGACAAAACAGAATTAAATTTCTTTAACCGCAATATCATTCAATATGACCGAAATCATTGTTTTTTACTGATTCCAATTTTTCGGAAATGTAATGTGATAGAATTTTTCTGAGCACACGGATTCCAGCGGCAAAAAATCTTCGAGAAATAACATTTCACACAAGCCAAAGACAAAAAGAAATTACATTTTATCGGACAGTGTAATATAAAAAAAAAATTATGCGATTCAATCCTTTAGAATGTCAAAGAATTCAAAATAATCTAAATTATTTATAAAGAAAAAAATATTTTTGATTCATTGGTTTTTTATAACATACTAGTTAATTGAATATTAATTAATTGTGAGATAATATAGTAGTTTAAATTAAAATCTTTCCTTAATCGTTTTCTTGGCTACTCATTAGATTTTTATATAAATGTATAAAAGTAGCTGGCAAAATAAACAAATAAATTTCTTGTATATAACGTATACATATAGATAATTGAAAAATTTTATTCCTTTTTTTCCGATATTTTTTTAATTAAAAATGTTTTATACATATAAAATTCAAAAGTGATCTTACCGATTTTAAAGCAATCATATCGTTAGCACCGTAGAACAAAGCTAAAGGAGCAGTAATTTTTTTAAAATCATACGTTAGAGGTGATATCTGTTCATATTGCTTGTAATTGTCAGCATATCCATAGTCGTAAGTTTGAAATTTCTCTGCAATAATTAATATTATTTTTCCACATAGATATGGAATTGAAATTAAGAGATATTCACAAATTTGTTATTTTTATTTAGATAAACATAAAATGTAACTGTAAACAACGTACTTATAATAAATACTGTAATTAATACTGCAATAGTATAATACTGTAATATTGTAATACTAATAAATACTATAACTAATAAATAAAATTATTATAATAATTTTATTAATAAAATTTTATCAATCTTATTAAATTATTAAATTATTATACCATTGTACTGTGTAATATAATAGTTTTCCTCTTTAATACATATTTGAAGGGAAGAGAAATACTCACTTGTAATCATATTTTGGATATAATGTTCAAATGTTCGCACGGAAGCGCCGTCTGGATAATTCGATAATATTTCCGGTAATACCGTCTAAAAACGAAAGGCTTCATTAAAAACAATTTTGATTTATTATACATAAAAATATAGAAATTTTATTTTGTAATTTTTATAGTTTTTATAAAAAATAGTGTTACAATTTGCAAAATCGTGCTAAATTGCAAATGTACCTACAGTATTAAATTGCTCTGGATTAGATCCGGCGATTAGAAATATTATTGCAATGCAGACAATCTGAGTAATTGCCTTATCTGTACACAATGTTCTTCCCACCTTGATACTCGTTGATGATAAGGAGGCCACTTCATAAATTTCATTAGAATAAAGAAATTCCTAAACAAAAATAAAATATGTAAACATTGAATTGTAATTGAGATTATATAGCATATAATATAATGTAAGGAGCAAATGTAATATTATAATAATTATATATTAATTTCTACAAAATACACATAATAATTAAAATGCATAAATTATGTAGTTGAGACCAGAGGTGAAAGTAACACGGAACGAATGTGAACTTTGTAAGTATAACTGAAACAAATAAACGAATTGAAACATGTTCTAGCATATTGATTTCACTCTACTTCAGTTATGCGCGAGACATTAGGTTGAACGGTTATTTGTATAGTGGTTTGTGGTGAAGAATCACATTAAAAATAACACTTTAATCTCTATTATTTTTATAAATATTTTTAATTTTATTCACCTTTTATTCACCTTTTAATTGTTTATTATTATTTTTCTTTTTTATCATTTATATATTGATATTAAAAAATTTATTTATGTTTGGTTTTTTTTATATATGACACATTTATAAATAAATCTGAAGAAATTCTAAGAACATAAAGATAATACTTCAGTATTAAGAAAAAGGATAAATACAAGAAAATAATTCAGTGCATGGAATGTTAACAATGTGAGTGTTAAAAAAGGATTTTGCTTCGTTTATCTTACTTGTTGAAAAAATTAATTTTTTTTCTTTTCGTATTTCAAAAATATTGTGAAATTAAAATATACTTGTAAGTTTTAAGTATTAATTCAAATAGAACGCTTTCACACTTGTTTGCTTCTCTATTCTCTTGCCTTGTTTAAATAAATGATCACTTATAGTTATAGATTTAATTTAATTTTTATAATAGATTATTATAATTAGAATATCACATATATAAATTTTTAAAATTTGTCTGAATTTTATAAAAAATGCAGAACACATAGACATATATATAAACATATAGAAGAAATTTAGAGGTAAAATACATAATATTATAAAGAAAACGTTTTAATTAATTATTTTAATTATTTTAATTACTTTAATTAGTTATTTATTTGATAGCTGTACATAACTTTATTAATCATCATTTTATAATTAATAAATATATTAAATAAAATGTCGCGATTAAAGTTATTTTCCTATTAAGATTATTAGGCTAATAAGAAAGATAATGTTGATACAAAAAAATATATAAAATATATTTTTCTTTTTCTTAAAATACGATTGATGTCTGATTCTTACCACAATCTTTGGTATTTTATTAAAAATATTTTCCGGTAAGGGAATTCTTTCTTTCCAAATA